AGTTTAAAAGCCGTGACTTCTCTGACTTCCTCTCGAAATATGGCGTGCGCCACATGTTCACAGGCGCCTATGCTCCGCAGTCCAACGCAGCGGAAAGAGTCAACCGTTCAATCAACGCGGCTTTAAGAGCTTACATTCGTTCGGACCAGCGTGAATGGGATGTTTTCCTCAGCAGCATCAATTGCTCACTTCGTAACTTCCTTCATCAGTCTATCGGTGTATCACCGTACCAAGTTGTTTTTGGGCAACATATGATCTCCCACGGCCAGGACTATAAACTGTTGCGCAAGTTGGGTTTACTCGCCGAAGGTGATGTCAACCTTTCAAGGACTGACGAGTGTCAGAAAATTCGTGCAAGCATCCATAAACATCTGAGCAAAGCTTATGAGACGAACCTGCGCACATATAACCTACGTACGAGGCCTAGATCGTTCGAAGTAGGTCAAGAGGTGACAAAACGGAACTTTGCGCTGAGCAACGCTGCCAATCATTTCAACGCAAAGCTAGCACCAGTCGGAACAAAAGCGAGAGTTAAGGAGAAACTTGGTCAATCAGTATATGTTCTGGAAGACATTAACGGCAAAGAGCTTGGTAAATTCCATGCCAAGGACATCTGGTGATCCCTCCTGACTCCTTTTTCAGTTTTTATTATTAGTCACAGGGACTAAAAATCAAAACTGTGGTTGTGGGAGTCAGTATTTTCGGCCAAGTTGGCATTCCTAGTCAAGACATTACCCATGGTAATTAACATAAATAGCCCAGATGCAACCCTTCAGTAGCAAGAATCCGATCCTCGCTAGAATACCAAAAATACCATTTTTATGGATTTTGGGGATTTTGTGCATCCTACATCCACTCTAGACGCCATGATTTCCTCCTCTTTGTCGCAAGCTTCTCCCGAGATCGGTTCGTTCTCTGCAAAAAGTGCTATAATTTTCAAACCCGTTCGCATCCACACATCCGCGTGTGAAATTCTAGGAATTTTGGTTGAGCAGTACGACCTGTTATCACTCACAATATTGGTGGTAAGATTATTCGACGATATATTGGAAAAATCTAATTGTAATTCCTGGAAAACAGCAGTGACCAGAGACACGTGCAAATTCTCGGAATTGACAGAAGTTTTACAGTCCTCCCTCTGCGCACAGCAAGGAGCAGGTGCCGCGTGCAGCGATTCATCAGCGGAACCATACATTTCTTCAGCGCCAGGCCATAATCGTTATTTTGGATTCTTATACCGCACACCGCGTGAAAGGAATCCGACTTCTTTGCCACGCCTGGATTAATTTCATCATCGGCAAACCATAAGCGGCTTCAGGGATCGCCGAAGTCAACCCGCGGGAGGTTTTGACCTTGCCAAGCCCGCACCACGATCTACAAGTCAGATCAAGTTGCAGTTCGGGCGAAAAACGCACCGGCGCCGATTCGGCGTAATTCGGGCAAGACAGCGGAGGCGGACGCCGCTTCCCAATTGGAATTTCAGTTCCAATTCTGGCTTCCAGTTAATTTTGGCCGGGACTGCCAACTCGTTTTTGTATCGCTAAAGCGATTGTAGTTTAATTTTCTTATTCTAAATATTTGTACGACGAGTTTCTAATTTAATTTACGATTCCTATTTAGCTTTTATACTTGCGTGTGTGCTTACGACATAGTATGACATATATACACCTAAATTAAATTATCCTACAGCGCACATCGATCGTCATCAGGCCTGCTGACTTCGTTGGAGAGTTCGTAAGTACGGCATAGCCGTAAATCATTTACATTCCTACATATATATTCATTCTTGTCTGAGCCCGCACACTTTTGGTACCAATATATACATGTAATTTTTCCACATTCGCGTATTGATATAAATATTAAATAAGAATCGTTTGCACTTATCTAATTTAACGTAATCCGCCTAAGTGATTTCCTGTAATTTTTGAATAAGCTTGCCGCATATCGATAAAATATGTAATCAGTTTTGTAATAATTTAACGTAAACAAAATATCCATTTCTTTTCTTATTTGATAATCTTGTACTGACACTTGGTCATATAGAGAGTCTTTTGGCGTAAAGAACGCTTAGTCTTAAGGCTTTAGTGTTAGGATTTGTAGTATTAAGAACCATGAACCATATTATCGTATTTGCCGTATTAAATGAAATGTAAGATGAATTAAGTTGTGATCTTTTGAGGGCACCTTAGAGGATGTAGCGCAGCGGTTGTTTTAAGGGTGGAGTCTAATGAGACTTCACAGGTAGGGTGGGTATAGAAGGTGGCCAATAACATCTGGGCCTCCGTCTTCGATAGGTACAGTCTCTCGTCCGAATCTTAGCCGATGGGTTAAAAATCCTTATCGTTACCGTCTCTCTGTCTACTATTGTTAGTTCTGTGACACTCTTGTTTCATCTTAACACAAACCCACACCCATCTCCCTGAGCAGGCCGGTCAAAGCGTAGACAGAGGTGTTAGGGTGGACAACGCTCATAGAGTGTGTTCGTTACAAAGTAATTCAATTTCTTTAAAGGAAATAATCAGCTTGAATTGGAATAGGTTTTATTTATAAAGCAAGACAGTAATACATTTTTATTTGCTTCCTTAAATGTTTACTTATTCTACTATATTATAAACAAATCCTTAAAAATGGTTTAAGTGTAAGCCAAAGCCCAAACACAGACATAATTATTTCAGTCGGTATCCCAGTCGAGGGAGAACCACCCAAAGTAAATTCCTCGAATGCCAGTCTCAGGCACGCGCCTGCTGCCTGCCTCCAAATCCTTGGGGAATATGGCAAACAATTCAATAAGGAGGACCCAGGGGGACTCGGGGGCCTCGGCTTCAGTTGTAGATAATAAAATACGCGTAACTGATATTTATGATACTGGCAGAGCATTTTATATTATTTATTATTGTTGTTATTATGGCCCAGATGCTGAAGCAGCAGCAGCAGCATCGGCTCAGTCTCAGTTATTAATAAGGCAGCTCAATGACGAGGAACGAGAACGGGCATGGGAGGGCCTTCGCTTTTGTTGTTGGCTACATTCATTACACGCATTTAGCCATAAATCCGATGGCAAACAAACCGGCATCCATCTAGGCAAAGACATGCCGCATTAAAATTGACAGTCAATCAATCAATCACAGTTCCCCCACCATCGCAATCCAATTCCTGCGAAAAACTTTATGTTCACGTTGTAAATTCCAAAACAAAACGTATAAAAATCAAGCAGTAACAAATGAAAGTGAGGCGAGGAAGCAAAATAAGCAGAGCAGCAGGCTGAAATTGATTTCATTAATTTAAGTAGATTTCATTTCATTTCATTTCATTTAAAACGGCCAGCACAGAAGTCAAGAGGCAAATAAAAATAACGAGCGCTGAAAAGTATGCTACGATTGCTAACGCCACTCCCAAAGGATCCGGACTGAATTGGCCCAATGGCCATTCACATGTCTCACTTCCCCCCTTGCTCTCATTTTGATTTCCTACTAATTTGTGTTTGCTTAGTTTTTCCTCTTTCGCCGGCCTTTCCTCCTGCCCTTTAGTTTTTCTTGGCTCAGACTCAGCTTGTCTCGCTTTTGAACTTCTGCAGTTTTTGTCGCCGTCCAAGTAGGACGGCAGCAGCATTTAGCATTTAAAAAGAAAATGCTAATGAGTTTTAATGCTAATTTTAGCTAGATTGCTTCACGCTTTTGGTCACTCAGCAGCACAAAAATAATAAAAAGTACCCGGAACCAAATGTCGAGCGAGGGGGATGGCTTAAAATGAACGAATTTAATGGTAAAATTTGTTGACCTACTTATTATTCGTTCTTAAACTGATTCGGTAGAGTCTTTAGGGATGGCATTTCTAAAAGTATAAGGTGCTTTGAATTCTTAAAAATGATTTAAGCATTTTATGCAACGCGCAATCTGCTTTTTTTGTATATCCCTCCATAGAGATACTATCAAACCCTTCTCCTTCATTTTATTTATTTTCTAATGTCTATTTTAGAAGGACCCACAAAGTAAAATACATTTTGAATACACAAAGTTTAAATTTAAATTAAGTATTTATATTTATGTGTTATTTACCCATTTAGACTATGATAAGATTATGAAATCATACACCTCCTAAAGTTCCAATGGCTTGGGCGACCCCCGTGGCGAAGACTCTGCATGCAACCCAAAAACGCAAAAAACAGCTGGCAGGCATGAGGCTTGTCTACTTGCCTTCACTTTGACACTCAAGTATCTAATTGCATGCGCCTGGTGTGTGTGAGCTTGTGTGTGTATTGCGTATCTGTGTGGCTCCAGGCAGGTCCTGCGAGTGTGTGCGAGCCCTGGCCCACCTGCCGTCGACTGTCGGCGGATTCAATGCCACAAATTGCATGTCTCGCACCTGTAGTGGCTGTCTTTCTTTTGCAGCCTCAAGTGCGCCACAAGTAGTCGGTGACAGTGGCAGAAAAATGGGGGAAAAGGCAGTGGAAAAGTCGAGAAAAGTCAAGAAAAATAAGCGCACCGGCAGACATCAAAGGTGGTGTCCTCTCCGAGTCCCTCGAGCAACCCTTCGAGCCTCCCCCCACCTCAATTTCACACCCTTCGCCCTGATCCGGGGCTTTTGGCAAAGTTTACGACAGCGCGATTAGCTCATGTCGTTTATTTTGGCTTTTGTGAACTTTGTCTTTGTCTGCCAGCTCAAGTGCAACTGGAATTGCAACAGTGCAATGCTGGGGGACAAGCTTAATAAGATTCCCATTTCATCGGTGTCCCGGTTCTGGGTTCTCGGTTCTCGGTACTCGGCTCTCGTCCAAAGAAGTTTGCCAATTCCCAAAAACTTTATCTGTTCCGCTGCGGTTCTTGGTTCGCTTTCAGTCATCAGCTGCAGCTCGAATTGAATCGAAAACTTTCTGTCTCAAGTCAATTTTCGCAATTAGGCTGCTGCTGAAAGCCCTGCACATAAGAACCGAAACCAAAACCCCAACCCCAAACCCACTTCGTGCTCTTTATTTGATTGAGTTTACTTTTCGATCATTGCAGGCAATGTCTTCGTCATTGCGGCCATTATCCTGGAGCGTAATCTGCAAAACGTGGCCAACTATCTGGTGGCCTCGTTGGCCGTCGCCGATCTCTTCGTGGCCTGTCTAGTAATGCCCCTGGGAGCTGTATACGAGGTAAGTAAGGGTGCCTGAGAAAGGGCAAGCGGTGCTGTATTTATTTAAAGGCTTTTTTACAAGAGCGAACATTACAGAACCCTTAAAAGATAATCAGATAGATATACAAGATACAAAAAGTTATTGGTATTCAAACATCATAATAACTAAACCAGCAAACCTTAGGGGTTCCATGGCTCTTAAAATTCTAGTGTTTATATCTGTTTAACAATAGTTCGATAATGAATACCAGTGTGCTGAGCGCTGTTCCACATATGTAAAGCAGTATAAAAGATTTAAAAAATTCAATTGTCAGCGGTCTTGAAATCATATCATCGTCTATGGGCAATTTTTGTAAACTCTTTATTTCTCGGAACTTTTGAAAACCCATCTGGACCCACTTCTGTGTGAGACCTGACTCTAAAACCTTTTCGTAATAATATACAAAAAAGAACCTTATCGGCGATCTGGGATTGATGGGCATTCGCATGGGTCGGCTCTTGGAGCAGAGTTCTCCCCCAACAATCCTTAGGGTCTCAGACTTCATGCGCTGCTGATAAAGTCGGAATGAATGCCAATTGGGCGTTTTCACCACGTAGGCGTAACTGTCGTTCAGGGAGATAATGTGGTGGAACATAGTGGGCCAATCCACAAGTATCACCCGGTCCGCCAGTGAGCTCGGTAAAATATCATCGTTGAAAGCCTGCGGTATTGTTGGATCGTCTGTCATTATCTTCAGACCACTGGCTCGCAACGTCTCTGCGTTTGTGATCGCAGGCTCGAAAATGCCCGTTGTAAAGACGGTGGACAACATTGATGTAATCGAACTGACTATAAGACTGATAAAAAAAAATGAAAACACTTCTATGAACTTATCCGCTACAGGCAATCGATTCAAGTGAAAGTCGGCCAGCGGAAAAGCCAAGTAAAATCGAAGGGTGTTGAAGAACGGGTCCGAAAGCGATCGACGACCGTGGGACAAGTACTTGATCATGAATATAACACAGCTCGTAAGGAACGTAATTTGGTGGACGCCGGGGCTTACCACTCTGTCTATGTATCTGCTCACGGGAATAGTCCTCCGGTTGGACACCAACACACACAGTCTGGAGTCCGTCAGCACGGGACTGAAATCGAGATTGTCGTCGTCCACCATATTGGCCACCACGTCGACTCTGCGATCATCTGCTTGGTGAAAGATCTCGTACTGAGATGTCTGTTGTCCTGGAACCGGAATGATTTCCATGGTCACATTAAGGTAGCGCATGAAGTTCACCATCATCAGTCCAATGGGGCCGGACAAACTAATATTGCCACCGTTGGTCACATCTGCTTGTTCCGACGAGTTGTACTGCAAGTAAAATGTAAATTGGTACTCAACAAAGTTAAAACGGAAAGATGGATAAATTAAATTAATATTAGAACGATTTTGTAAATATGTTTGCCTTAAATTTAGCAATCATTCTTATGACATCTCTACAATTGAATGTCCGAATTGTAATACATTTTTATGAGTTATATATTTAAAAACAAAATATCAACCAAACTGATGTTCTTTGCTGATGCTTCAAATCAAAAATATCTTTAGCTTTAAAAATCTTCACTTGCTAAGAATCGAACTCACCCAAAAAATAGTTGGAGGATCATTAACAGCTTGAAGTATAAACCTGTAGTCATCTCTTCGAAGGGTATACAAAAACATTTGAGGGTTGGAAGTTTGAAATGGACGTAGTTTTCCCAAACGATAAAAGGACCATAATTCTGTCTCGTACTTGCCCTGACCAATGAGAGCTGTGCGATCTAGCGACCGATCCCAGCACCAGCTGAATAATTCATGAATAAAGTCCGCATTGATGGTCTTTTTTGCATTCGGCGGTGGAGCATAAATAAGGATCAAAAACACCCTGCCGAAGCGAAGTTCCGGGTCATCGAGAGCTGCCAGAGTGGGATCATCCAGGCCAGTAAAAAGGGCAACAGCCATGTTCTGCGCACTTAGGTAGTGGTGATTAACCGGTCCCAGATCCGATCCAACGTTATAGATTGGCAAGGGAAATGCTTCCATAATACGCTGCTGGAACGAGGAACTCAAATCGACTTTGCCTGTATATGTGATCACACAGTAAAATCCCAAGTACGCCTTCAATGTCTTGATCATTTGAAATAAGGAATTGATTTCGTTGTCCAAGTTGTTCTCCACTTCTTTGACTACTATTTGAAGTTGACTGCTGGCTATGAGGCCAAAAAGAACAAAGTTCCGTACAAAGAATCGACTCTCCATGGTTGCTTTTCGACTTTGAACCCATCGCTCGAAAGTTGACCCTTTATAAAGCCTTGCAACCCTTGTTTGCTTTGTTATTAGAAGCCATTACATTTTACACTCCAAGCTTGGGGAGCATCAAATTTAATAAGCCATCAACTTTTATTGTCTATTTGGCTAACCAGCTTTATGACCCCCGTTTTCTATTCATGCTCACAGATCAGCCAAGGTTGGATACTCGGCCCCGAACTGTGCGATATCTGGACCTCGTGCGATGTCCTCTGCTGCACAGCCTCGATTTTGCATCTGGTGGCCATCGCCGTGGATCGGTAAGTAATTACTTCAATTTCCCCCTGTTCCGGGCTCTTGATAAATTGCCCCACAAGTCAGCTTGTAAGTGGCGTGTAAGACAAGCCGTAAGCTCTGGGGCTGCCTCCCTAAATATAGACATATCCGTACTTGCTAGTATGGGTGAGAAAATGTAGCAGCGTGTGTTTGAGTTAAGCGAATCAATCAATCAAGTTTTTAACATGTCAAATCTCCTTACAAATCCAGTAATGCAAGAAAAGTAAACCTAAAACATACACCCATTCATGGGAAGCAACGCGACTGATGAATGCCCTGCAATCACAGAGTGGTTATTTATGGATACTCGACCTCGCACATTGAAATTTAAAGACACTTGAGGTATCTCTGCAGTTTGTTTTTTTCATTTTCTTGTTCCCCGCACTCAACTGTCACTCGATGGCTATATCAATTTAAAATAAACATATTCCCTGCTATGGCATATGGCCACCATACACAGACTCGTATGGGAAAATGGCTGGCTGCATGCCATCAATCAATTTGCAGCAAACATTTCAATCAATCGATTAAAAAACAGAACGCAAAACGGCAAACAATAAAGGGCGAACGAGGGGGCGTGGCAGGGCAGGGCAGGAACAGTGAAAAACGAATTGCATTATTCACTTGGGAAAAGCGGAGGGTGGCACTGCGAACTCGAACTCGATGTCGATGCGAATGTCAATTTTATTGTCAAGCATCCAGTGCCAGCTAATTTTCGTGCACTTGCCGCCAATGACAATGGAAGTGGGAAATCGTTTTCCAGCGAAACGGCAAATGGGGAAAAAGCTGGTGTGGTGGAAATATAGCTGTCCTGGCTGGCAATTTTATGGCCACTTAGCAGCAAGATTGGCGCAATTTTCCAATCGGCCCGCACGGCGTATACGTAATGCAGTTTGAATATCTGCTACCCGTGACACTTTTGCCTGTTGTTGTGTGTTTAATGAACACTCAAATGCAAAGGCCGGCGCCCGGCCACGCCCCCATCCACATCCCAGCCCCCATGGACATTGTAATTTCCAAAATGCTTGCTGCACTTGACCGGGTAATTTCATTTTATTAGGAACTGGGCTCCGGGCTGAGAGCTTCCAGCTGCCGTTGGCCAATTCCCGCATGAGCTGAAATTATATGGTCGCATTAATTGGCTTAGCTGCAGGTCGATGCGGGCCAATTATTTGGCGGTTTCAATTAGAGCCACCGACCAACCAGCCGAGCCATAAATAATGCAAATCGCTTTCTTTACCGCTGCAACGTGGCGTATACGCAACATGCGGGGGGCGACTCATTAAAATTGAACAGCCTACACGCAACAAAATGTGTTTATAGCATATTTAAATAAATTATTTGCAAAATTTTAAATATTATTATGATAAAACCTATTGCGTTCTATATCCAAGTTTACAACGTTTACACTTACCATACGAGCTAATGTTCAGAATTTAAACAATTAATCGAACATTTAAATATTTAATAAAAACATTTAATATAATTTTACATTTTTTAATACAATTGTTCGTACTTATTTCGCGTTCAATATTTACATACATTTCTCTATGTGTACAAATGCAAAGAGATGTATTCCTATTTGTTTTTGTGACTAATTAATGCACTCAAATGCTTCAATACGGCCACACCGCATTTGTGAAATTCGTTTTCAACCTCTAACGGGTTTTCAAATTAAATTGAGTTTTCAAATAATGCGCTGTTGAGTGGTGTTTGTTCCAGTGGTGGTCAGGTATGAAGGGAACATCCCCGAAAAATCCCGCTGATGCCCTGTGATGCGGCTGTCAATTGGCAAATTGAAGCGCTGGCTCCGCAAATTGCCTGTCAATAAACAAAGCCAAGTGATGCTTAGATTTCGCATGCATATCAATCAGCCGAAGCCCCGGCTTTAACATTCCATAAGAGACTCGTCCTATCTTTGGCACCTCGCAAACACCACTCGCCTGTCAGCTGGACACCGAAAAGAAAGCCCAAGTCCCACATCACATTATGATTGGGTATTCTGTATTTGTGGAGCGGGAAGTGGCAATGGACCACTTTCATTTCTGCTGGCAAGTATGCAAATGACGAGGCATGACAGCAGCGATGATGATTCGCCCGAGTGCCACATCATCGTCAAGATAAAAGGCCCCCGGCTCAGGTCCAGACTTTTGGGGCTAAAGTTAGGTCCCATCCGGAGTGGGGGAAACAATTACTCGGAGAGGACTTGGGGGCACATTTTATTTGTTAGTTGTCACTAGATATTTAAAATGGAAAGTCTTTGTTTTATCACCAAATGAAATGAAAATTAATGTGCTTTTAAGCAAGCGGCAGGCATTTACGGCAGGACGAAACGAGATGGGAGCAGTGCATTAATAAATTAAGTTTGTCAAATGGTCCCCGACTCCTGGGCGCCCAAACTGGATGATAAATAGTTGCCGACATTCGGCTACAATAATATTTGCAAGTATTTGCCGTTAGGAGAGCCGAATCGTTAACAATGCGATGATTCTGGGACATTGAGGGAAATGGTTAACATTTTCCGAGTTCATTTTCCATGTCAGTAATTTTTAAGCAATTAAGACAAAGTGCCAACAGTATTTGCAGAAACTGGAGATTGGAGGGGGTTCACAGGCAAATAAAACAAAGAACACGAAAACGAAGAGCGAGTAAACTGAGCAGCATTTCCAGGGAATTTTTCCCTTACTATTTGCCAGCACAATAAAGCCCTTACACAGAAAATTTTTTACCGAAAATGTTTGTATTTGTTTGCCAGAGCTACGAAAATAAGTGAGATTAAAGGAAACATTCCCGTATTAAGGCACAAAGGAGCAGTGTGACCATGCTACAGATTAGACTGTACAAATTAGTACATTTGGATCTTTATTAAATAAAAATAATTTACTTTATCGAATATTTCTTTTAAAAAAGGGAAACATATATTTGTTGAACGGATTACGAAAATGCATTAAATATTTGTATTTGTATCTTGCTAGAGCTTTGAACATAAGTGAAATTAAAATAAACGTGCCCTTACGGAGGAGTGTGACCATGCCGCAAATTAAAATGTACAAATTAGTGAACTTTGAGTACTATTATTTAGGAAATATTTTATCAATTACGAAATCAATTTTTTTCTTTTGTGTAATAAAAGGAACCGAAACTGGGATCCCGCACCAACAAATGGCGCCCGGACATTAATCTTCATGGCACTGACCCAACGTTTCGGCCGATTCTGTCGAACTCTGTTGGCCGCCCGAATATATGCACATATAAAGGAGGCTTTCAGGCACACACACTCGAACATTCGAGCTCGATGTGCATAAATTTCATGGTCTGCATGCTGCTGACGTCATTATTAGTGGCAGCACACGAGACCAACAACAAAAGCAACGGCCGCCCCGAATGATAAATGCCTCGCGGCTTTGCGTTCCAGGCTGGTCGAAACCATTTAAATGCCAAGTTTTCGCCGAAGCCCGAAAAAACCCCCCCATCTTTGCCGCACCCCGAAATGCCAGATCATGGGACTATCCTGATTGCTGACTGCTAACCACATTGACCAACAGTTTGTCGGCCATGTTGCTGCCGTGCTCATGTTGCTCGTGCGCATCGCTGCTCATGTTGCTCGTGCTGTTGCTGTCGCTGTTCACACATTTATGACATATTCAATTAAATTTCAATTAAGTTAACATAGTTTTTACGTAAATATTTTACAATTTAGCACTTAAAACGTAATTACATGTTCATATTCGTTGCCCCATCGTCGATGCTCTGGACCCCAAGTTGCTCCGCTGGTAGTTATTTTTGGTGTTGCTGCTGTTGTTGCCACTCTAACCACAACAACAGTACAACAATAAGGATAACAGCTACAGCTACAACTACAACTACGACTGCGACCACTGCGTCCCATGTGCTGTGTGCCATGTGTAATTGTAATTGCTCTTGTCACACGATTATTTTTTTGTTCGGCTTGGTCGAAAGCCAAATAGTGAATGCAAAAAATACAACAATGGGCACGAGATTAAATTTTCATGCAAGCGAATTTCCTGCCAACAATCCAGTACACAGATTTTATTTAAATTCATTTTACTCAATCAATAGAGGGTTACTTAACTTCTAGTAATATTTTTCCGAAAGCATTTTCTTAATTTATTCCCTGGTCATGTAAAAGATTAATTATCAGGTTAATATTATTTGTTTGCCAGCTGTTTTAGGTAAAACATTTTTTTAATATTTTATTTTTATAATTTTTAATTAAAGATGTAGCTAACAAAAATAAACAGTTTACAAATGTTCAATTCTAACATAATTATTTAAATGCACTCTATTTTATAATCGGCTTTTAGCTTTTTAGTTAATATCATATAACCCGCCTGCCGGTAATCATGTGGATTTTTTCGTGCTAATATTTTGATTCACTTAGCGCAAATGAGAAAACTTTTCGCTGCCACTGTGCACGCTTGGCTAAGTGCAAATGCACATTGTACTTATTTTACATAATTTTCATGCTGTCGCGTTGCGTTTTAGGCAATGGATGCTGCCCACCGCTGACCTCCTAACCCCCTGACCCCCATCCCTTAACCCTTGCAACCGCATGGCCACAACTTTCATGTGCGGTGTGAAGTCCGGGGGAAGGGGCAACTTTGTAATTGCACAAATGTTGGACCAATTTTTGGGAGAATGGTAGCGGTCGGTCGTCGGACAAGCTCAGCTGGCAGATTAGGGATTGGCCAGAACAAAAGCATAACCTTAATTAAATTGGCAGTTAAACAAACGCATTTAACAGTATAATTAGTTTTCCTGGATCACACAGAGAGCTGGGTGAAAGAGGTTACCAGCGTACGTTTACTGACTACGCTTCATTTGCTTTGCACATTTAATGTGTGTAACGTGTGGGTCTCTTTTCAAATGTTTAATGAGACAAAGTAACAAACAGACAGGGCAATAACAAGACAAACAGCCAAGCAACCGAGCAATAAAACCAGATATGTTACTAAGACATTTA